CCCCTCTTCCCCTCTGCCCCCCAACTTCTTTGCCCTGTAGCCTCTTCCCCCTTTACTATCAGACCCTGCTTTCTCTGAGCACATGGAAGTGAGGGGCAAATTTGAAAACACTGACAGATGAATTGATACTTTTTTTTTCTTTTGAAATTGCTGCAAGTTTTAGTGCAGGTATTCCACAAGCATACTTGTAAGCAACACTTTTGTACTTACTTATGCAGTATAAAGCACAATCTTTTCCTTTTAAAAATAAAAAAAAATTGTGTTCTAAGTCAAATCAGCCAAATCAATTCCAATTCCGTGAGTCAGTCAAGAACTACTACTGTGGCCCTGCTACTGGCAAACATCCTCCACCACCTCCTAGGGCTTCAGATGCTTCCAAGTCCTTTGGTCAGCATCCTATGTGCAGGCTTGGGGTTCGGATGCCCCTGAGTTTTGTTTACTCTCAGCATACAGCCACAGGAGCCAGGCTAGGGAGAACTCTCCCATTTCCATAAAGTTGGCATATAGCCAGTATCTTCCCACTAGAAGTGAAAGTGGGAGACTAACTGTGCCTTACCTTGGTCAAGGTACTGCTCCCTGCCAAGAAAGTGGTTTTCCCCTGCCAGTAGGAAAACTGCCTTAGTGGTCATGGTATTTCCCCTGCCAGTACAAACTATGCATGATATTAGTCTAGAGCAAAAAGGCTCATGATTTACCATATAGTTCATTGGCATGTTCCCCAGCAGAGTTGGCAGCATTTCAAGCCATGCCGACCCCATTGCTCAGCACTGCTCAGTACATGTGTGTACTTCAGGTCTCTTCCCCCCCCCCGATTGTATGCAAATTAGCCTCCGACTCAAGAACTGGATGTTCTTGTCATGAGTCCTGGGATCCTCCAAAAATGTATATGCAGATGAGGTCCAGGGCAACCTGGTCTGGTTCTACCTCATGTAGCGTAGGGCCACACCAATCGCATTCAACAGGCTGGAGGGGCGACAGAGAGGTCTGGGTGAACTGTGACAAGACATATACTTGCAAGTTAGATGAGTATCCCTCTTCTGAGCTTCACTGAAGTTTGAACCCTTTAGCAAGAAATGAAACTTGCTTTCACTTTGGACGCCACAACATTTTTCTTAGGAAGAGAAGGGTATTGCAGGTTCTTGAAGTCCTGCAGCTGTGCACTGTCAGTTGAACTCCACAACTGCAGAGTTCAGTGGGTCATGTTCAACTATTGTCACTTTTTGAAGTAGATGCAGTAATATTTGTAATTTGCTTGGCTGTTCGTTTTCCTCTGACACATTCCTAAAGAAAACAAGGGGCATTAGGTATGAAAAGTTATTTTACAGTGAGCTTGTGTAACCCATCAGCCCTTTCATTTTGGTAGCTGACATTTATTAAGCTTTAAGGAAACTGAAACCCAACCAGCTGCCCAGAATTCTGATAAGGTCACCAAGAGTGCTAAAGGAGAATAATAGTATGGCATATTATAGAGCATCTCCTCTTGTTCTACACATGTATCCATTTGATAAGTTTTCAAAAATAATAAAATAAGAATAATACTATACAGCATTTCTTTCTATAGAGTCATATTTATAGCAGGTGGAGATTGTCTTGCTAGTTCAGTGAGACCCTAAAGGTGTACACATATTATTTAATCTCTCTGTGTTGCATAATGGAGAAAAGAATTATATGTTGTGTAATGTTAAAAGGAGCTATTAGCTTGATTTTTTTTTTTTACCTCCTTCTCTCCACTCTGAAGGTCCCTCCTCCACTGCCTCCCGACAAGCTGTGTCTCTGTCCCATGCCTGCCCCAGCCCCGGCTGGGTGGCCCCTTCCCCAGTGCCAACCCCACACCTTTCCTCACCACGGGGACCTTGATTTGCACCCCCCCCATGCCCTTCCCCCTTCCCTTTCCTCTTCCACCAAAACAGACTTACCAGCTGCACGCAGCACTCCACACTGCCGGCTCTGCTCCTCATTGCCTATGTGCTGCGCTGCAGCTGTGTGTGCACATGGGCATTAATTGAACAAACTTATCGGCCACATCGGGCCAATTTCCAATACAGAAAACTTTCTTTATATTGTTGCCGATCCAATATCAGACCGATGTATCGGTGCACCTCTACTTATTTGCAAAGGTGAGAAGGGTAGTGATTCCAAAATGTGTTGGGATTTCTGCTCAGGCACTAAGAGCAATTATGGCAGCTTCTCTCATGGGTGAGAACTTCTTAGATTGATAATTCTCAGATCATTTAGTGCTTTACAGGTCGAAACATTTACTCTAGTGATCAGAGAGAGACTTTTTGAAGCCCTTCATGTGACCCTGTAGCATATTGCTACAGGAGTCATGTGACCCCTGGAGCATATTGCTCCATGCATCCCAAACTATTCCTCCTCACTACCACCTCCTTCCTTCTCCTACTGTAACCGGTGCTAAGAAATGCAGCCAGAATTCTACTGCATGTCCTCCTTTTTTTTTTAAATGCCCTTTTGTTGGTGCTTTATCAGTGAGCTTCCTTAGACTGCCTGTTCAGTACAAATTTTATTGTTACTCCTTACTCCACTTCACCCCTAGGGAAACTGAAAACATGGGTTTTCAGTTGGCACTAGCCCCTTCCCCTATACTCCCAATTGTTCCAGGCACCCCAAGTCAGACAAATACCTTGCAGAGTTCAGTACAGTGCAAGCTGTAGAACTTTACTGAACTCATGTTTAGAGAGAAGAGGAAAGCAAAAGTGCTCCTATTCACAATTCATCTACCCTTAGGACCCCCAAAGCATGTGTGCAAGCAATCCCCACTTCCCTCCCTCTGCCTGGGTAAACCAGTCACTGTGGACAGCCTCTGGTGGTTAAACATCTCCTAAGAGATGGGTGACTGGCGGATCCAAATTCTCATCTGAGTACTACTTACTATATTTTGTAGTGTATAGACCGACACAGTGTATAAGTCAACCCCATTTTTCTGATGCAAAAAGTTAAGAATTTCGTAGATCCGGCGTATAAGTCAACTTAACTTAACTTTTTGGATCAGAACAATGAGGTCGACCTATACTGGCCCCTGCATGTCCTCATTGTGGGCCAGGCACCTGGGGGATGGATACGTGCTGCAGTGCTGCTTGCAAGGGATGGGTCCAGGCTTGGCACTTGGCTGGTGTGGCTCCATCCCCTGCGAGTGGCATGGCCTGAGCTGCACCAGCTGAGCGTTGAACCTGGCGCCACTTGCAGGGATTGGGGCTGTGCGAGCCGAGTGATAAGCTTGGCCCTGTCTGGAGTGAGTGGCACTTCTGAGCCCAGCCCCATCCCCTGTCAGTGGCACCAGGCTTGGCACTTGGCTGGCACGGCCCAGGCAGCACCACTCACAGGAGGTGGGGCCGAGTCCCAAGCCCGGCGCCGCTTGCAGAGTATGGGGCTGGGCTCGGTGCTTGGCAGTGCTGCTCACAGGAGACAGAACCAAGCTTGGCACTTGGCTGGCGGGGCCCAGGCAGTGCTGCTATAGGGGATGGGGCCACACCAGCCGAGCCTGGCCCCATCCCCTGCAAGCAGTACTGCAACATATGTCCACCCCCCGCGTGTCTGGCCCACAACGAGGGTGTGCAGGAGTCGATATTAGTCAAGTGCCGAGCCTGACGCCACTTGCAGGGGACAGTGATATGGTATATAGGTCAAGGTTGAATTTTAAGAGTTAAAAATTCGGCTTCAAAACTTGACTTGTACACTGTGAAATATGGTAATAGCTAGTAAATACCAATTTGTGTCCTAGTCGTGTATTAAACAATATGTTTCTGGTTTGAGCTGAAAAGTATCTGTGGCTTTTCTAATGATTTAGGACTAGTCCCTTCACTGGAGAGAGGATTTAATAACTTGCCCTGTGAACTAAGCTCCTTTCATTTTGTTATAAAATATGTTCTGATGTGCTAGGCTGTGTGTGAAACTTAGTGCTGAGCAGACCAAGGCTCCTTTGGTGGGTTAATTGATTGGTATGTTTTTTGGAATCCAAGCTAATTGCTTTAAACAGTTTTTAGGAATATCTTATTATGAAAGGTGCTCCATGAATACCAAGACCCAAGCTTCTAAAACTAGGAACTTAAAAACTAAGATGCTGAAGAGAAACTTTCAAAGGTGTAAAGGGCCCAACTCCTATTCACTTTCAGTGGGAGTTGGGCACTTCGCTTACCTTTTTGCCATTGAAAATTATTTCCCTAGTGTATGTTTAAACAACTGTTATAAATGAAGTACCTGGTTTTTAAAATGCTGACTGTAAAGCAGCAACCCTTAATTTAAGATAGGTCACACATTTGGGAATCTTTATTAGCTTAATTATAGGCAAGACTGTAAAATTAAATATTTTATCTTAGATTCTTTTCTGATAAAAAGTAGGCTTAATTCTTGTTTTCAGAGAACCCCAGAAGAGACATTGTTTTGACATATAATTGTCTTGATAAAACTAGTGAAGGAGACTGGAAAAGGCACGGGTCAAATAGTTTACTTCTGTACTGGTTTTATTTTGAAGGTAGTTACTATACAAATTTATGTCTTACCTTGCTGATGCAAATATTATTTCTATTTTTCAGGAACCCTCCTCATCCACTAATCAGTGTACTTGAAAACAGACCTGTTTGCTGGCCAGTTGTCCTGCAGCAGATAACAGTATTCTTCCAACAGTGCCAAGAGAGGTAACCCCCCCCCCCTATAAATACCTGGATTATGTCTGTGGAATGCACTCAAAAAAGTGTTTGATGCACTGTGAGAGAAATGTACATAAATAGGAGTAGTTGTCTGTTTTTTGTTTAAAAAGAAATCTTAGACTTCCTTGAATGATATAGATTGTAGACTAGACCTAGTTTAAAAATCAAAAAGTAGTTTAGCCAAAATGTAAAATGTTACAGTGACTTGTAAAGTATTGGGTGTGGAGAATTTATTTGCTAAATTCCATAATGAAAAATGTTATGATAAAGTCTACTGAAAATGCTGTGGAATTGGTTATCAAAGGTTTTCATTGATAATGTTTTGGAAAATGTATTTGGTTTTAAAAAGTCACTAACTTCTACATGGAAAATAAAATGTTTCAACAAACTTGATAATCTGAAACCCCCCCCCCAATTTAAAAAAAATGGTTTTTAATTACAATTTTTAAAATTGTAATTAAAATAGTTTCTCATTATAGCTTCATTCACCCTTTTTAGACTATTTTGGCGTGAACAGACAAGCACAGTTGTGCGGTACATGGCACATACCACTCAGTCCTGTGTTCTCCATGCTGCAAGGGTCTGCTGCATGAGTGTGCTCTGTGCCACTTTTTCTTATGTAGGTTTTTTGACCCTTGGATATCCAGGGGTCCAAAAAAACCATGGAAAGCACCCCCGGAACAATGCACGCTTGGCCAGTGTGTCGCTGAAAAGCAGAGCTGGCCCTCCCAGAGGTGTGCTCTGCTGCCAGCCAGGCTTAGTGGCAGAATCACCGCAGCTGCAGCCCTGGGAGGCCCCCAGCCTCCCCCACCCCACCTGGGGTAACAAGCCACTCACCAAAGTGCACATGGCACAGGCATTCCCCGGTGACAAGAAGCAGTGGTGCAAGGTGCACCGCCACTACTTGTCCCCGGGGAACCAAATGTCCACGCACGTCTGGACACACCTTTAGAGTCCATTCATAGCATATGATGAAGTAGGCTGTCTCCTGCAAAAGCTCATGCTTTTCTGAACAAGTTAGTCACAAGGGCCCCCTCTACACATGCAGGTAAAGGTACAGTTGAATCTAATGCATGATTCACACAATTGTGTCATGCTACACATGCATGGCAGGAGGTGCAGTTATGGGATTGTGCATTAGATCTAATTGTGCCTTATTGTGTGTGTAGGGGGAGTCTGATCCTGGGTTCCCTCTGCATTGACAAGAAGCAGGCTCCTATGGCTGGGAGACCTCTTTGCTGAGGGGGCTCTCAGCTGCAGGGGCCATACAGAGCCAGGAGAGAGTGCCTTGTCAGGTGCAGGTCTCTTGGTCCTAGCGGCACGTGTGGGCCTGGGGGTTTCATGCGCATCAGAGTCTCGGGGCAGCTGCGATCATCAGGGCTTGAGGGTTTCACACTGAGCATGGTACACCCCTGCGGCTGGGAGCCCTGTCAATTGATGGGGCTCCCAGCTGCGGGGAAGACCCTGCTACACCTGCTCATTAAAGCTGAGTAGCAACCAATACACATTTTTGAGGTCTGCCTTTATAGCTGTTTGGAGCTTTTTATCATGTGATAGCTACTTTGCAAGTGTAGCTGGCCTTAAGGTAATTGCACAATAAACCAGTTAATTGCTTCATACCTGTAATGTGTAGAGGGGGCTTAAGGTACAGAGTAGATAAATGTTATTTATCCTTTTCCACAACATAACGCTATATGGCAGGGGTTGGAAACGGTTTTAGCCAGAGTGCCAAATACACCCCAACTTTGACCCATGCTTTGACTTGGCATGCCAGAGGGAGAAGGCAGGGGAGCTGTGAGAGGCCCCATCCTTGTTGGCAGCAGGTGCATGTGTGCCTCCAGGGAGATGGTAAGGGAACGGCTGGAGATGCTCTGTCCCAGGCCCCTTTCCCACCATGCACCCTGAGGTGCACGTATATCCACCAGTGCTGGGACTTTGGACCCCAGTGCAGCTGTTTGCAGCTTGCCTACCTGCTGCAGCTGCCCAGAGCTTGGGCCAACTGTGGCAGGCATCCAGGAGGCTGCAAACAGCTGCATTGGGTTCTTTGGGGGCAGTAGTGGCTGCATGCACACCTGAGGATGCATCACAACCCCAGCCATTCTGCGCTGTCTGTCTGAAGATGCACAGCAGCTGCTGCTGCCGCCATGGAGCCTGACCAGAGCCCCGGTGCAACTGTTTCCAGCCTCCTGGCTATCTGCCACAGCCACCACAGGCTCTGGACAGCTGCTTCCTGCCACAGAGCCTGGGGTGCTTGCAGCAGGACTTGTAGGCTCCTGGCCTCCTGCTGAGAACATCCCAGGCTCCCTGGCCAGTGGCAGCTGCCCAGAGCCTGGGCTGGCTGTGATGTGCCGAGCAAAATGTTCTTGCATGCCTTGCTCTGGCACATGCATCAGGGGTTACCAACCTCTGCTATAGGGTTTTTCAGTGAAATTTAAAATATAACCAATTTAAAACTGGTAAGAGGAAATATTTATACGTAAAAGGTCTCTGGAATTTTCAGCCCAAGACATCGTCACTGAGACCCTGATCACCTCTTGGCAAAACTGGCCAATTGTGGCCTTGGGTCCACCACGATACGCTGGCTGGGAAATTGGCTCTGTGGTCGGACCCAGAGGGTGGTAATTGATGGAAGTCAATCGTCATGGTGCCCTGTGACCGGTGGGGTCCCCCAAGGCTCTGTCCTTGGACCCACTTCATTAATGATGTGGACATTGGTATCAGAAGCGGACTAGCCAAGTTTGCCAACGACATCAAACTCTGGGGTAAAGCATCTACACCTAAGGACAGGAGGGCGATCCAGGCTGACCTGGACAGGCTCAGCAAATGGGCGGACGAGAACCTGATGGTGTTTAACACTGAAAAATGCAAGGTTCTCCACCTTGGGAAGAAATACCTGCAGCATCCTTATAAGCTCAGCAGTGCTATGCTGGCTAGCACTATGGATGAAAGAGACTTGGGGGTCGTCATTCACCACAAGATGAACATGAGCCTTCAATGCGATGCTGTGGCTAGTAAAGTGAGCAAAACGCTGCCTTGCATCCATAGATGCTTCTCAAGCAAATCCCAGGACGTCATTCTCCCCTTGTACTTGGCCTTGGTGAGGCCACAGCTGGAGTACTGCATCCAAGTTTTGGGCCCCACAATTCAAAACAGACATGGAGAAGCTTGAGAGAGTCCAGAGAAGAGCCACGCGCATGATCAGAGGTCAGGAAAACAGACCTTATGACAACAGGCTGAGAGCCATGGGGCTCTTTAGCTTGGAAAAGCGTAGGCTCAGGGATGATCTGATGGCCACCTATAAGTTTATCTGAGGTGCTCACCAGGATCTGGGGGAACGTTTGTTCACCTGAACGCCCTAAGGGATGACGAGGTCGAACGGTTATAAACTCCAGCAAGACAGTTTCAGGCTGGAGATAAGGAAGAATTTCTTTACTGTCCAAGCTCCCAAGGTCTGGAATAGCCTGCCATCGGAGGTGGGTTAGGCACCTGCATTGAACACCTTCAAGAGAAAATTGGATGCTTATCTTGCTGGGATCCTATGACCCCAGCTGACTTCCTGCCCCTTGGGCGGGGGGCTGAACTCGATCTTCTGAGGGCCCTTCCAGCCCTAATTTCTATGAAATCTATGAATGTCAAAGATGAAGTTTCATATACTTCTTTCGAAGGGACTTGGTATTGTTGTCAGACATCAGATTTTGAATGAAATAAAGTGTTGGCATAATCTGGCATGGAAAGTCTTGTGTTTCTAAGAAAATTCTGATTTCTTCCATGCAAATCTCTTGCTTCCTCTCTGTTCGGCAGTGAAATGGCATTGCTGAACAGAAGCCATTTAAAAGTCAACATTTGCATAGCATAACCATGCAAGTATCCGAAGTGTCTGCTAATACGTGGCTTGGGAGAAATGATATTAATCTTAAATGCCACCATGTGAAAATTGTTGGCAAATCCTGGTATTTTAATTAGACTGCTGTATAACATCACAATTCCATAATGAAATGATTCTTGAAAAATCTTTTAAATGTGAATGTCTTTTTATTGCTGGATCTAGAGTGTGTTTGAGAGAGAGATACAGGTTGTAGCTGTATTGATCTACAGGCAAAAGGAATTGGAACTCTTGGCAGAAGTGAAGATAACACCTCTGCCAAAAGTTCCGATTCTTTATGAGAGCTAGAGAAATAAGTAAGTCTGATGCATAGATTTTTGGTGGTATTTCAAACCATATTACGTCTAGTACTTCAGTAAGTAGAAAACTTTCACCTTGAATACCATTTCTTTTTTTTTCATTTTCAATTTTATGAGATCTAACTTATGAGATGTATTTTATGCTTCATAATTTTTACCGGTAAGGAGTCATTTCAGTTCCCTTAGTTGGCTTAGTTATCTCTCCTCCAACCAGCAGAAGAAAAAAATCTCTGCTTTTCTAGTTGGAAAATGTGAAACGGTGTTTCTTTCTTAATACTTGATACTTCATTTTTATAGGAAAAAATGTCTCTTTAGATAAAAGCGTTTTTGTGCAAAGGGTGATTTGGGGTAGATGAAATGAGATCTTGGGGGCCAGGGGGAACTCCCTTACTTGTTTGTACAGTGAGGCAGTAGGATAGATTGCCTGGGGAGGTTGTAGAATCTCTATCAGTGGAGGTTTTAAAAAAGAAGCAGGATAAACATTTGACAGGGATGGTTTAGAATAGTTTCCCAGGAAGGTGGATTTGATTTAATCAATTTAATCAAATCAATTTAAATCATGATTTTAAATTGCAACATAAATCACTGGTCAGGGAGCCTTGATTTAATAAGTGTTTTTTACAAAAAGCACATACTTGTTGTTTGATATAACCCTCGTACATATTATTCATAACTCAGATGTAGGTTTCATTTTTAGAAGGTACATACTATACACTTTAAAACAGTGATTTATTTTGATATTTTTTCAGATTTATTTTGCTGCTACATCAGAAAACTGAATTATGATTTGGTTATTTTATTTACCA